ATGGAACAAAATGGAGCCACTTGTTGTGGATGTGGGAAATAGTCTAATGAAGAGGACTAGCAAAAAAAAGAGGCATCCAATGCAGTGGACCAGTCAAAGTGGTGCGTGGGGCAGTCGGGGCAGAGCGCGCACCTATAATGGGCGTACCGGGCAGAGTTCGGGCGCTCAAATCATGCCAACCACATGGAACGAAATGGAGCCACTTGTTGTGGATGTGGGAAATAGTCTAATGAAGAGGACTAGCAAAAAAAAAGAGGCATCCAATGCAGTGGACCAGTCAAAGTGGTGCGTGGGGCAGTCGGGGCAGAGCGCGCACCTATAATGGGCGTACCGGGCAGAGTTCGGGCGCTCAAATCATGCCAACCACATGGAACGAAATGGAGCCACTTGTTTTGGATGTGGGAAATAGTCTAATGAAGAGGACTAGCAAAAAAAAAGAGGCATCCAATGCAGTGGACCAGTCAAAGTGGTGCGTGGGGCAGTCGGGGCAGAGCGCGCACCTATAATGGGCGTACCGGGCAGAGTTCGGGCGCTCAAATCATGCCTGCCACATGGAACGAAATGGAGCCACTTGTTGTGGATGTGGGAAATAGTCTGGTGAAGAGGACTAGCAAAAAAAAAGAGGCATCCAATGCAGTGGACCAGTCAAAGTGGTGCGTGGGGCAGTCGGGGCAGAGCGCGCACCTATAATGGGCGTACCGGGCGGAGTTCGGGCGCTCAAATCATGCCAACCACATGAAACGAGATGGAGCCACTTGTTGTGGATGTGGGAAATAGTCTGGTGAAGAGGACTAGCAAAAAAAAGAGGCATCCAATGCAGTGGACCAGTCAAAGTGGTGCGTTGGGCAGTCGGGGCAGTGCGCGCACCTATAATGGGCGTACCGGGCGGAGTTCGGGCGCTCAAATCATGCCAACCACATGAAACGAGATGGAGCCACTTGTTGTGGATGTGGGAAATAGTCTGGTGAAGAGGACTAGCAAAAAAAAGAGGCATCCAATGCAGTGGACCAGTCAAGGTGGTGCGTTGGGCAGTCGGGGCAGTGCGCGCACCTATAATGGGCGTACCGGGCGGAGTTCGGGCGCTCAAATCATGCCAACCACATGAAACGAGATGGAGCCACTTGTTGTGGATGTGGGAAATAGTCTGGTGAAGAGGACTAGCGAAAAAAAAGAGGCATCCAATGCAGTGGACCAGTCAAGGTGGTGCGTTGGGCAGTCGGGGCAGAGCGCGCACCTATAATGGGCGTACCGGGCGGAGTTCGGGCGCTCAAATCATGCCAACCACATGGAACGAAATGGAGCCACTTGTTGTGGATGTGGGAAATAGTCTAATCAAGAGGACTAGCAAAAAAAAGAGGCATCCAATGCAGTGGACCAGTCAAGGTGGTGCGTTGGGCAGTCGGGCCAGTGGGCGCACCTATAATGAGCGTACCGGGCGGAGTTCGGGCGCTCAAATCATGCCAACCACATGGAACGAAATGGAGCCACTTGTTGTGGATGTGGGAAATAGTCTAATCAAGAGGACTAGCAAAAAAAAAGAGGCATCCAATGCAGTGGACCAGTCAAAGTGGTGCGTTGGGCAGTCGGGGCAGTGTGAGGCGCATCTATAATGGGCGTACCGGGCAGAGTTCGAGAGCTCAAATCATGCCAACCACATGGAACGAAATGGAGCCACTTGTTGTGGATGTGGGAAATAGTCTAATGAATGGGACTAGCAAAAAAAAAAAGGCATCCAATGCAGTGGACCAATCAAAGTGGTGCGTTGGGCAGTCGGGGCAGAGCGCGCACCTATAATGGGCGTACCGGGCAGAGTTCGGGCGCTCAAATCATGCCAACCACATGGAACGAAATGGAGCCACTTATTGTGGATGTGGGAAATAGTCTAATGAAGAGGACTAGCAAAAAAAAAGAGGTCATGCCAACCACATGGAACGAAATGGAGCCACTTGTTGTGGATGTGGGAAATAGTCTAATGAAGAGGACTAGCAAAAAAAAAGAGGCATCCAATGCAGTGGACCAGTCAAAGTGGTGCGTTGGGCAGTCGGGGCAGAGCGCGCACCTATAATGGGCGTACCGGGCAGAGTTCGGGCGCTCAAATCATGCCAACCACATGGAACGAAATGGAGCCACTTGTTGTGGATGTGGGAAATAGTCTAATGAAGAGGACTAGCAAAAAAAAAGAGGCATCCAATGCAGTGGACCAGTCAAAGTGGTGCGTGGGGCAGTCGGGGCAGAGCGCGCACCTATAATGGGCGTACCGGGCAGAGTTCGGGCGCTCAAATCATGCCAACCACATGGAACGAAATGGAGCCACTTGTTGTGGATGTGGGAAATAGTCTAATGAAGAGGACTAGCAAAAAAAAAGAGGCATCCAATGCAGTGGACCAGTCAAAGTGGTGCGTGGGGCAGTCGGGGCAGAGCGCGCACCTATAATGGGCGTACCGGGCAGAGTTCGGGCGCTCAAATCATGCCAACCACATGGAACGAAATGGAGCCACTTGTTGTGGATGTGGGAAATAGTCTAATGAATAGAACTAGCAAAAAAAAAGAGGCATCCAATGCAGTGGACCAGTCAAAGTGGTGCGTGGGGCAGTCGGGGCAGAGCGCGCACCTATAATGGGCGTACCGGGCGGAGTTCGGGCGCTCAAATCATGCCAACCACATGGAACGAAATGGAGCCACTTGTTGTGGATGTGAGAAATAGTCTAATGAAGAGGACTAGCAAAAAAAAAGAGGCATCCAATGCAGTGGACCAGTCAAAGTGGTGCGTTGGGCAGTCGGGGCAGTGCGCGCACCTATAATGGGCGTACCGGGCGGAGTTCGGGCGCTCAAATCATGCCAACCACATGGAACGAAATGGAGCCACTTGTTGTGGATGTGGGAAATAGTCTGGTGAAGAGGACTAGCGAAAAAAAGAGGCATCCAGCGCAGTGGACCAGTCAAAGTGGTGCGTTGGGCAGTCGGGGCAGTGCGCGCACCTATAATGGGCGTACCGGGCGGAGTTCGGGCGCTCAAATCATGCCAACCACATGGAACGAAATGGAGCCACTTGTTGTGGATGTGGGAAATAGTCTGGTGAAGAGGACTAGCAAAAAAAAAGAGGCATCCAATGCAGTGGACCAGTCAAAGTGGTGCGTTGGGCAGTCGGGGCAGAGCGCGCACCTATAATGGGCGTACCGGGCGGAGTTCGGGCGCTCAAATCATGCCAACCACATGGAACGAAATGGAGCCACTTGTTGTGGATGTGGGAAATAGTCTGGTGAAGAGGACTAGCAAAAAAAAAGAGGCATCCAATGCAGTGGGTGCGTTGGGCAGTCGGGGCAGAGCGCGCACCTATAATGGGCGTACCGGGCGGAGTTCGGGCGCTCAAATCGTGCCAACCACATGGAACGAAATGGAGCCACTTGTTGTGGATGTGGGAAATAGTCTGGTGAAGAGGACTAGCGAAAAAAAGAGGCATCCAATGCAGTGGGTGCGTTGGGCAGTCGGGGCAGAGCGCGCACCTATAATGGGCGTACCGGGCGGAGTTCGGGCGCTCAAATCGTGCCAACCACATGGAACGAAATGGAGCCACTTGTTGTGGATGTGGGAAATAGTCTGATGAAGAGGACTAGCGAAAAAAAAGAGGCATCCAATGCAGTGGACCAGTCAAAGTGGTGCGTTGGGCAGTCGGGGCGGAGCGCGCACCTATAATGGGCGTACCGGGCGGAGTTCGGGCGCTCAAATCGTGCCAACCACATGGAACGAAATGGAGCCACTTGTTGTGGATGTGGGAAAAAGTCTGATGAAGAGGACTAGCGAAAAAAAGAGGCATCCAATGCAGTGGACCAGTCAAAGTGGTGCGTTGGGCAGTCGGGGCGGAGCGCGCACCTATAATGGGCGTACCGGGCGGAGTTCGGGCGCTCAAATCGTGCCAACCACATGGAACGAAATGGAGCCACTTGTTGTGGATGTGGGAAAAAGTCTGATGAAGAGGACTAGCGAAAAAAAGGGGCATCCAATGCGGTGGACCAGTCAAAGCGGTGCGTTGGGCAGTCGGGGCGGAGGGCGCACATATAATGCAAAAGTCTGATGAAGAGGACTAGCGAAAAAAAGAGGCATCCAATGCAGTGGACCAGTCAAAGTGGTGCGTTGGGCAGTCGGGGCGGAGGGCGCACATATAATGGGCGTACCGGGCGGAATCCGGGCGCTCAAATCGTGCCAACCACATGGAACGAAATGGAGCCACTTGTTGTGGATGTGGGAAAAAGTCTGATGAAGAGGACTAGCGAAAAAAAGGAGGCATCCAATGCGGTGGACCAGTCAAAGCGGTGCGTTGGGCAGTCGGGGCGGAGGGCGCACATATAATGGGCGTACCGGGCGGAGTTCGGGCGCTCAAATCGTGCCAACCACATGGAACGAAATGGAGCCACTTGTTGTGGATGTGGGAAAAAGTCTGATGAAGAAGACTAGCGAAAAAAAGGAGGCATCCAATGCGGTGGACAAGTCAAACCGGTGCGTTGGGCAGTCGGGGCGGAGGGCGCACATATAATGGGCGTACCGGGCGGAGTTCGGGCGCTCAAATCGTGCCAACCACATGGAACGAAATGGAGCCACTTGTTGTGGATGTGGGAAAAAGTCTGATGAAGAGGACTAGCGAAAAAAAGGAGGCATCCAATGCGGTGGACCAGTCAAAGCGTTGCGTTGGGCAGTCGGGGCGGTGGGCGCACATATAATGGGCGTACCGAGCGGAGTCCGGGCGCTCAAATCGTGCCAACCACATGGAACGAAATGGAGCCACTTGTTGTGGATGTGGGAAAAAGTCTGATGAAGAGGACTAGCGAAAAAAAGGAGGCATCCAATGCGGTGGACCAGTCAAAGCGGTGCGTTGGGCAGTCGGGGCGGAGGGCGCACATATAATGGGCGTACCGGGCGGAGTTCGGGCGCTCAAATCGTGCCAACCACATGGAACGAAATGGAGCCACTTGTTGTGGATGTGGAAAAAAGTCTGATGAAATGGACTAGCGAAAAAAAGGAGGCATCCAATGCGGTGGACCAGTCAAAGCGTGAGGGCATGAGTATATGAGGGCAGGAGTACATGACGGCATGAGGGCATGAGGGCATGAGGGCGTGAGGGCATGAGGGCATGAGGGCATGAGGGCGTGAGGGCATGAGGGCATGAGGGCATGAGGGCGTGAGGGCATGAGGGCATGAGGGCGTGAGGGCATGAGGGCATGAGGGCATGAGGGCGTGAGGGCATGAGGGCGTGAGGGCATGAGGGCATGAGGGCATGAGGGCATGAGGGCATAAGGGCGTGAGGGCATGAGGGCATGAAGGCATGAGGGCATGAGGGCATGAGGGGATGAGGGCATGAGGGCATGAGGGCATGATGGCGTGAGGGCATGAGGGCATGAGGGCATGAGGGCATGAAAGGATGAGGGCATGAGGGCATGAGGGCATGAGGGCGTGAGGGCATGAGGGCATGAAGGCATGAGGGCGTGAGGGCATGAGGGCATGAGGGCGTGAGGGCATGAGGGCATGAGGGCATGAGGGCATAAGGGCATGAGGGCGTGAGGGCATGAGGGCATGAGGGCATGAGGGCATGAGGGCATGAGGGCATGAGGGCATGAGGGCATAAGGGCATGAGGGCATGAGGGCATGAGGGCATGAGGGCATGAGGGCGTGAGGGCATGAGGGCATGAGGGCATGAGGGCGTGAGGGCATGAGGGCATGAGTGCATGAGGGCATGAGGGCATGATGGCGTGAGGGCATGAGTGCATGAGGGCATGAGCTCATGAGGGCATGGGTTTAGAGTGCTGCTTCGGAGATTTTTCCGTGAGCTCGGAGGATGGCTCGGGTGGAACGCCATTGAGGACCGAGGCCACCGATGACGACTGTTACGAAAGCTTCTTCGGCTATTGATCCTCCGCATCGAAGGAGTTTGTCGCGCAGTTCGCGACAGCGGCTGATATACGCCATTCCCTTTTCGCCTGGTTTCATTTCGACGTTTGTCAATTGCGCCATTAACCTGTCAAACATCATACATGTTGTATTTGTGTAGGCTGTAGTGGGTTAGCCTATAGGGGGGTCACAACATTAGGGTTTCATATTTGTACTCACAATCCTTGCTAGTTCATCATTCCAGTCCGTTCTCGTTGACATGGTTTCAGAGCAGGTCCTTCGCTAGGACCGTTTTTTTTAAGGGCCCACCGTTCCCTACCTACCTACCTACCTACCTAGGGCGGCTCTAATTTTTTTTTTTTAACGGCCCCTACATCCCGCGACCCGCGACCCGCCCCTTAAGGCCCCGTCGCGCCGCCCCTTAGCCGCTCGCGCGCGGTCGTTTTCATACGTGCGCCCCGCCTGCTGCCCGCGCGCGCCTTATTTCCCTCGCGCGCGGCCCGTCGCCTGCTCGCGCACGCCCCGCAGCCGCCCGTCGCCTGCTCGCGCACGCCCCGCAGCCGCCCGTCGCCTGCTAGCGCACGCCCCGCAGCCGCTCGTAGCCTGCTCGCGCACGCCCCGCAGCCGCCCGTCGCCTGCTCGCGCACGCCCCGCAGGCCCGCAGCCCGCCGTCGCAGCGGCCGCCCGCCCGCAGCCGCCCGTCGCCTGCTCGCGCACGCCCCGCAGCCGCCCGTCGCCTGCTCGCGCACGCCCCGCTGCCCGCAGCCGCTCGTACGCCGCTGCTTCCGCTGCTGCTTGCGCACCGCTGCCTCCCGAGCGCCGCCGCTGCCTGTGCGCCGCCGCTGCCCGTGCGCCGTCGCTGCCCCTACGCTGCCGCTGCCCATGCGCCGCTGCTGCCCGTGCGCCGCTGCCGCCCGTGCGCTTCTGCAGCCGCCGCCCGCGAGGCACTCGCTCTCACTGTTGTTTATTTTCTACCTACCGCGCACACTGCTGCCACTGCAGCTGCCACCAGTGCGCCGTTGCAGCTCCTGCTGCCACGCTACCTACTACTGCCGCTCGTGTGCCACTACGGACTGTTGACCCTCCGCACACCTTTCCAGCGGCCTGATTCCTACTACTACTGTTACTACTGCTACTACTGCTACTGCTACTGTCACTATGGCTAGTCCTCCAGTTCTAGCTTTCGATGCCGAGGGCCGTCCAGTGAAGTTCGAAACCTGGCTAGATGACCTGCACCTGTTCCTACAGCTCACTGCCAAGGAAGATATCTCACTGTACGACCACGCCCTAGGCCATGCCACTGCCCCTGACTCGACTGCTGACAGCACTCTGCGTTCCCAGTGGCAGACCCGTGATGCGCACGCTCGCTTTGCTATTCGCAACTCCCTGCCGCTAGACGAGCGCGAGCACTTCGGCCAGTGCAAGACTGCTAAGGACCTCTACACCGCTGTAGTTGCCCGCTACTCCTCACCCGCTTCTGCCACGCTAGGCCGCCTCACTCTCCCCTACCTGTTCCCTGACCTAGCCTCCTTTCACACTGTCGCAGACCTCATCACCCACCTTAAGACTAGTGAGGCCCGCTTTCGCGCTGCTATGCCTGCCGAGTTTCTCACTAGCAACCCCCCCCCACTGAGCTCACTGTTGCCCTCCTCGAGAAGGAACTGCTTGCAGCTGAGGCGAGCATCGTCGCTGTAGGCACCTCTCGTGGCGACCCCCGCACCCCGTTCTTTGAGGGGTGTTCCCCTTCCCCCCTCCTCCCCTCTGTCGCCTCTGCTGCTGCTGTCGACCTTCTTGGTGCTGAGAAGGTCGGGACCGCGTCTGCTTCGAGCGGGCGCCGCAGGAACAAGGGGGGCAGGGGTGGGGGTGGCGGCGGAGGAGGTGGGGGTGGAGGCGGTGGGAGTGGAGGCGCGGCTGGGGAGACTAGTGGCGGCAGTGGGGGAGGAGACAGCAGCGGTGGGAGTGGTGGCGGAGGCGGCAGCGGAGGCGGAGGTGGTCGTGGCGGCGGCAGGGGTGGAGGTGGCCGGGGCGGCGGCGGTGGGGGTGGTGGTCGTGGAGGCACTGGCGGAGGGCAGAGTCAGCAGCCCGCCCCGACGCTTCAGGCCGCCCGTGAGTGGTATGCGCAGCGTGGCTTTACCTGCACGTACGTCATTCGCACAGGTGACTGCAGCGGCCAGCAGTGTGGGAGGCCGCACCCCACGCAGCGCTGCTTCGCGCGCCTTACCGACGCGTGGCGCACTCAGTTTCCTGCTGCCACTGAGCTGCCACGCTGGGCTGATCTGGAAAAGAGGGGTGTTGATATTTGGGCTTTAGACTTTGATGCTATTCTCACTGCCATGTATGCGATGTCTATTAGTGGAGAGGGTGCTCAGTACTTGCGTGTTCCGCCCGACCCGGGCATTCAGGCCAGTCCGGCTGCCGCTCTAGGTGCTAGTGCATCTGCTCCCACAGGTCCTGGTGAGGCTGCAGCCCTAGGTGCTAGTGCGTCCGTGCCCCCTGGTACTGAGTCGACTGCAGCACTGCACACCTTCACACTGGACTCAGGTGCTTCTCGCTCCTTCTTTCGTGACCGCACTGTCCTTGAGCCACTCGCTCGGCCAGTTGCTGTCTCCCTTGCTGACCCCTCTGGGGGTCCGGTCATTGCGACCTCCTCCACTGTCCTTCCTTGTTCGGCGGTCCCGTCCAGCACGCTGTCAGGTCTCTACCTCCCCTCATTCTCTACGAACTTGGTGGCAGGTAGTGCGCTCCAGGACGGGGGTGTTCACCAGTTCACCCCCGCCTACGAGCGCGTGACACACTGCACGTGTGCTCGGACGGGTCGCCACCTGGCTACCTTCACTCGGGAGCCGGGGTCGGACCTTTACACACTGACCACTGAGTCCCCTCAGGTAGCTGCGTCCGCGTCTGCGTCTGCGTCAGGTCAGCTGTCCGCCCCCTGCTCGTGTCGCTCTCTGGCGCATGAGACTGTCCTTTGGCACCACCGCCTTGGTCACCCGTCTGTGCAGCGCCTTCGGGCCATGCACAAACGGGACCTTGTTGCTGGTCTTCCCAGGGTACTCCCTCCCCTTCCAGACTCGCCTGCTCCTCCCTGTATTCCCTGTGTCGAGGGGCGGCAGCGCGCCGCTCCTCACTCCTCCTCCTTTCCCCCGACGACTGCTCCTTTGCAGACGCTCCACTTGGACGTGTGGGGCCCAGCCCGCGTCCGTGGCCAGGGTCAGGAGAGGTACTTCCTGATTGTTGTTGACGACTTCTCGCGCTTCACCACGGTCTTCCCCTTGCGCGCCAAGGGTGACGTCTATGATGTATTGATCCCCTGGATCCGCAGATCTCGTCTCCAGCTCAGTGAGCGTTTCCGCTCCGACTTCCCTGTCCTGCGTCTGCACTCTGACAGAGGTGGGGAGTTTACCTCTGGCCTCTTGGAGGCCTTCTGTCAGCAGGAGGGCATTGAGCAGTCGTACACGCTTCCGGCCTCTCCACAGCAGAATGGGGTTGCTGAGTGTTGCATTGGTTTGGTCATGGAGGTCGCTCGTACCTCCTTGAGCCATGCGGCTGCCCCCCATTTTCTGTGGCCGTTTGCAGTCCGATACGCTGCACATCAGCTCAACCTCTGGCCCCGTGTCTCCTTGCCCGAGACTTCTCCGACACTGCGTTGGACGGGAGAGGCTGGCGATGCGTCGCGTTTTCGGGTCTGGGGATCCCGAGCTTTTGTCCGCGACACGTCCGCGGACAAGCTCTCCCGTCGCGCTGTCCCCTGCGTCTTCCTTGGCTTTGTCCCGGACGCCCCTGGCTGGCAGTTCTACCACCCCACCTCGCGTCGTGTCCTGGCCTCTCAGGACGTCACTTTTGACGAGTCCGTCCCCTACTACCGCCTCTTCCCCTACCGCACTGCCCCGCTCCCCCCCCCACCTCTCTTCCTCGCTCCAGGTGCTGAGGTACCAGACCCCCTCCCCCCTCAGGGTGCCGCTCCCTCAGGTGTGTCCCAGGTAGACCCGGGTGAGCCTGTCGAGGTAGCTGTTGACTCTCGTCCTGCTAGGGGTGCTGAGCCTGGGAGTGCTGCGTCTGGGGGTGCTGAGCCTGGGAGTGCGGAGCCTGGAGGTGCGGAGCCTGGAGGTGCTGAGCCTGGGGGTGCTGAGTCTGGGGGTGCTGAGTCCGGGGGTGCTGAGCCTGAGCGTGCTACACCTGGAGGAGCCCTCTCCTCCCAGCAGCTGCAGGAGAGGTACCTCGAGTACTGCCGCCTCCGGAGAGGTGCTGCTGGAGCTCGTCCCGGTACTTCCCCTCCTACCCGGGAGCTCCCCCCCATTCAGCAGATCCGCGAGTGGTACACACGGCGCTGCAGTCTTCGGAGTGGTGCTCCTGGTGCTGCAGACCCTGGGGGTGGCGCTGCTGCTGGTGCTGAGGACCCGGACGTTGGAGCTGCTGCTGGTGCTGCGGACCCGCCTGGTGGAGCTGCTGCTGGTGCTGAGGACTCGGACGTTGGAGCTGCTGCTGGAGCTGAGGACCCGGGCGGTGGCGCTGCTGCTGGTGCTGAGGACCCGGTTGTTGGAGCTTCTACTGGTACTGAGGACCCGGGCGGTGGAGCTGCTGCTGGTGCTGAGGACTCGGACGGTGGAGCTGCTGCTGGAGCTGAGGACCCGAGCGGTGGCGCTGCTGCTGCTGCTGAGGACCCGGGCGTTGGAGCTACTACTGGTGCTGAGGACCCGGCCGGTGGAGCTGCTGCTGGTGCTGTGGACCCGGACGCTGGAGCTCCTACTGGTACTGAGGACCCGGCCGCTGGAGTCTCTTCTGCTTCTGGAGACGCTGCGCGGCCGCGACCGTACTTCGTACCGCTCCTTCAGCAGGTTCTTGGGCAGGCTCCTCCTCCTTGTCCTCCTCCCTCCGTAGA